ACGCAGCAGCAGCAGCAGCAGCAGCAACGCTTTCAAGTTTACGGAGGGCTTCTCCTCATCCTGTGAAATATTTCTGTTTCTTTTTAGTTTCTGACTCTCTGCTGCGCACTCTGCTGCAGCAGCAGCAGCAGCAGCAGCGAAGGTGACTGTAGCAGCAGCAGCAGCAGCAGCACGCTGCTGCAGCCCTATCGTCCTGTTTTTTTCTCTAGAACCTAAAATAGGCTCCTGCAACTTCTTCAAACTAATGCTCACTCTTTAGTCTTTTCGTTTCAGGGTTTAGGGTTTATAAATTAAATTTAGGGTTTAGGGTTTAGGATTTAGGGTTTAGGGCTCAAAGTTCACTCACGCCCTTAGCAGAAGCAGCAGCAAAGAAGAAGTTGTGAAAAAGCGTAGCAGTTTCTATACTTGTTGCCTCAACATCTAAACCATAAACCCTAAACCCTAAACCCTAAACCCTAAAAGGGAATTGAATGAAATGTGAGGGCCAGAGCACATCAGCAGCAAAATTCAAAGCCCACCTGATGAACAAATAAATGATATGAATGAATAAAATGTAATTAATTAATTAGTTAATTAATTAATTAATTATTAATTAATTATTAATTAATTAATTAATTAATTAATTCCCATTTGTTCAGTTCTCGCGACAGCCTGCAAACAGAAAAGCGCGACAAGTGGTTTTGGAAAAAGAAGAAATAAAAAACAAGACACTTAAAACTCCCTTTTAATTTAAAAATCAACATTTAAATAAATGCATTCAAAATTGAAAATAATAAAACCGTTTGGGGTGTATGTACACCTGAGGTCTATTTACACCTGAGGTGTACGTACACCCCAAATGCATTTCAATAAAAACCATTTTGAGACTTTTGCGGAACTTCAAAAAACTTTACTTTAAACTTGAAGATTTAAAAATAAATAAATTAATTAATTAAGTAATTAAACCTCCAATAAATTAATCGTAACATTACTTCTCACAAAACCCTAAACCCTAAACCCTAAACCTTAAACCCTAAACCCTAAATCTTGAAATTTGCTATTTATCAATTCTCAAAACTCTGTAAATGAATAAATGAATAATAGAATATATATACTTAATTTAAATGCACAAAATGCAGAAAAGTGCACAAAAGCCCTTAAAAGGACTTTAATTATTTTTAAATGAAATATTTTAATTTAAAGATAAACAACTCAAAAATTAAAATTTATATTTCCGCATTTTAAAATAAATGGGCTTTTCCTATTTTCTGCAAAGCCCTCAAAAACTTTAGCACAGAAACGCGGACGGAGGGTTTAGGGTTTAGGGGTTTAGGGTTTAGGGTTTAGGGTTTAGCGTTTCGACCGTTCGGGCCCAAACGTTCATGAAATTCTATTTGTAGAAGCTTATAAATGCATTTGAACCCTTAAACAATTCGCTGTGAACCCTAAACCCTAGACCCTAAACCCTAAACCCTAAACCCTAAACCCTCTTCGGTGACCCTGATAGCTGCTGCCCTCGCTCCAGCGAAGCTGTGAGAGTATACGTTCGCAATGAATTTATTTTCTTTGAAATTTAAATTAAACCCTAAACCCTAAACCCTAAACCATAAACCCTGGAACCCTTTAAAGATGGAATGGAAACCTTTTTCATCCGACGGCTCAGCGTTTAGGGTTTAGGGTTTAGGGTTTAGGGTTTCTGCAGCAGCTAAGCATACGCTGCCTCTCAAGACCGCCTGAATCAAATGAAACGCCTGCTTCTCACTATTAAGGGTTTAGGGTTTAGGGTTTAGGTTCTAGGGTTTAGGGTTTACGGTTTGGGGTGCGCGGCGGTGGCTGCGAGCATCGGGGCTTGGCTTTCGCAGTCTGTGTTGAGAAAACGAAATGAAATAAGATAAAGTAAAATGAAATGAAATAAAATAAAAAATAAAAATAAATAAATGAAAAGAAATAAAAGAAATAAAGAAAAGAATTTGAATTCGATTTTATTTTTTAAATCTTCTTTCTTCCTTTTTTAAGGAGCGCGGGCGTCGGAGCGGCGGGCGAAGCCGCAAACCCTAAACCCTAAACCCTAAACCCTAAACCCTAAACCCTAGACCCTAGGGTTTGCAATGAGCAGCGGAGGCGTGGTGTGCGTGGTTCGGGACAGCAGCAGCTGCAGCTGCTGCTGCCACCGCTACTGCAGCTGCAAGTGCTGCAGCTGCTGCAGCTTGGCTAGCTGCCGCAGCTTGAAGAACAAAGCGCTAGCTAGCCAATCTGCTGCTGCACTGGACTTGCATGCGTGGCTAGCTGCTGCAGCACACGCTGCTGCTGCGCGGCGCGCGCGGTTTGCTGCTGCTGCTGCAGCGCAAGCAGCCAAAACCGCCAGTGTTGCTGCTGCTGTTGCTGCTGAAGCGAGAGCAGCAGAAAGAGATAAGTTTGTCAAGTTGCTGCAGTCCACTCCCAGCAAAAGTTCTTGTCTTTCTTTAGTTTTAAGAAGACAAAAAAAATTAGGGTTTAGACCCAAATCCGAAACCCTCCTCATTCAGCAGCAGCTCCTCGTCAACGGCTGCTGCGCCCCAAACCCTAAACCCTAAACCCTAAACCCTTGCTGCCTCTGCGCGGGGCGTCGCGGAGGAGGCCGCTGCTCGCCGGGAGGCCGCTCGACCGCCCAAACCCCAAACCCTAAACCCTAAACCCTAAACCCTAAACCCTCGCCACGGCAGCAGCTCCTGAACCAAACCCTAAACCCTGGCAGCTGCATTTTGCTGCTTCTTTTTTATTCTTTTGAGCAGCACCCAAATAACAAAAACGTTTTGGGAATAATTGCACGCCAAACCCTTGGCCTCTTCTTCCCCCCCTTAGGGTTTAGGGCTCAGGGTTTAGGGTTTAGGGTTTAGGGTTTAGGGTCTAGGTTTTGGGGTTTGCGGCGCTGTGTAGGTGAATAGAGCGACATAGGATGGAGAGTGTCTGGGTCCAAGGGTCTAGGGTTTAGGGTTTAGGGTTTAGGGTTTGGATTCAGCATCTAGGGTTTAGGGTTTAGGGTTTAGGGTTTGGAGCTTCAGGCTGAGGATTTAGACGGCGGAAGATGCTCGCAATATTCACTTTCTATAGTATAAAAACAAATAAAACAAGTAATAAACAAATAATAAACAAAAATAAACAAAAATAAACGAATAAATAAAGAAATGGAATTAAGTTGAGCTGCTTGCTGCCGCGGTGCTCGGGGTGTACGTACACCTGAATCTAAGGCGGCTTCGTGAAAAGGGAAAAAGAAATTTAATTTAATTCAAAATTTTTATTTAAATTGTTTTAAGAAGATTAAATTTAATTTAATTCAAAATTATTTTACTTTAATTGTTTTTAACTTTAAACTGCTGCTCACTTGAGGTGCTGCTCGCCACAGAGACTCCAGGCCCAGCCTGTTGCTGCTGCTGCTGCTGCTGCTGCTGCTGCACGCCTCCTCTCCTAGGTGCTGCAGCAGCAAACGCAAAGGCCACGCAGCAGCAACTGCAGCAACTGCAGCAGCGGGTGGAACAGAGAAAGATACAGCAGCAGCTGCAGCAATAGCACCGGCAGCAGCAGCAACAGCAGCAACAACGGCAGCAGCAGCGGCTGCTGCTGCTGCTGCAACGTCAGCATCCGCCGCAGATGCTAAGCAGCAACAGCAGGAGGGCCGGAGAAGCGAGCAGCAGCAACAGCAACACAAGGCCAGCAGCGGCAGCAGCAGCAGCAGCAGCAGCAGCGGATGGCCTACAGTGAGCAACAGCAGCAGCAGCTTTGTGTCAGCAGCATCTTGGGGCTGCTGCAGCGTCTCCATTCCGCATGCACGGAGCAGCAGCAGCAGCGGGGGCTCGTTGCTGTGCTGCAGTGCAGCAGCAGCAAGAGCCAGACTCAGCTGCGTCAAAGCCGCTTTGCTGCTCACAACCGCAAAAAGGGTTTAGGGTTTAGGGTTTAGGGTTTAGCTCTGCGCAGGGGAGCCGGGCGCAGCCCCACTTTAGGGCTTAGGGTTTAGGGAAACGACCCCCCGGCCCTGAACCCCAAACCCCAAACCCTAAACCCTAAACCCTAAACCCTAAACCCTACTTGCTTTGGTGCTGCTTAATTGCTGCAGCAACTTTGTAGATTAAAGCTGTCAGGGCCTCGGGCGGCAGCTGGTGCACATCGAACTTGCATTTAGTCCTTAGGGTTTGCGCAGCAAAGCAAACCACCTGAGAGCCAAACCCTAAACCCTAAACCCTAAACCCTAAACCCTAAACCCTAAACCCTAAACCCTAAACCCTAACCCCTCAAGCGCGAACCCCCGCGCCCGAAATCCACGCCCGCACGCCGCCAGCAGCCCAGCGGCTCCCTCGACGCCAGAGCTTCAACCACAAGGGTGTAGGGTTTAGGGTTTAGGGTTTAGGGTTTAGGGTTTACCTCCGCACTCAGGGGGGGCTGCTTCGGGGCCAGCAGCTCAAGCGAAGCCTCCCAGGCCCCTGCAGATTGCTGCCAAGACCTCAGCCATTCGTCTCTGAGCCACAAACCCTAAACGCTAAACCCTAAACCCTAAACCCTAAACCCTAAACCCTAAAGCCTAAGCGCTACACTCTCCGCCCGAGCCTTTGGTTTCTGCGCCCCACGTCCTCAAGTGTAAACCCTAAACCCTAAACCCTAAACCCTTGCACTTTGCTGCTAAGACCTCAGTCATTCGTCTCTGAGCCGCAAACCCTAAACCCTAAACCCTAAACCCTCGGGTTTCCTTACGCCTGTCTGTGTGTCTCCGGGTCCCCCGAACCAAAAAGGGAGTTTAAGGCCGTTAGCAGCTGAGCCTCCTCCATCTTGCTGCTGCTGCTGCTGCACCTGCTGCTGCTGCTGCTGCTGTCACACCTCGTGCTGTTGAGGCTGTTGCTGCCACTGTGGCTGCTGCTGCACCTTCTGCAATTCGTGCTGCTGCTGCTGCTGCTGCAGCTTTTGAGGGGCTTCCTGCTGCTGTGTCTGAGCCCACTGCGCCTGCAGCAGCAGCAACAGGAAGCGCAGCAGCAGCCAGTGCAGCAGCAGCAGCAACAACAACAACCCCGCTGGAGGTCCCCTTGAACTTGTGCCAGTTGCTGCTGCTGCTGCTGCCGCTGCTGCCCCCCACAGTTCCGTCTGTTGTCCTTTCTGCTGCAGCGCCTCCTAGCACTGTTGCTGCGTCTCCTGCAGCAGCTGCTACCGCTGCTGCTGCTGCTGCGGCTGCTGCGGCTGCTGCTGCTTCAGTGAGAGCCGCTGCCCCAACCCCAATGCAGAAGACGCAGTTGCTGCTGCTGCTGTTGTTGCTGCTGCTGCATCCGCAGCAAGTAACACACGGAGGGCGGAGCGCAGCAGCAGTCTGGCGCGCATGTGTCGCTGCTCCTGCTGCTGGTTGCTGCTGCTGCTGCTGCCGCCACAGCACCCTTCTTGCTGCTGCTGCTGCTGCTGCTGCAGGAAATAAGAAATAAGCTTAACGCATTTCATGTGTAGAGGCAGCTGCAGCAGACACAGCTGGAGCAGGATCCCAGTGCATGCAGCAGCCGCAGCGGCAGCCGCAGCGGCTGCTGCTTTTGCTGCTGCTGCTGCTGCTGCTGCTGCTGCTCAGTCTCGTTTGAAGGCCCTGGAGGCAGCAACGCGAGAGCGTCTCCAGAGGTTGGGGACGAAGGAGCAGCAGCGAGGACTCGCTGATGTGCTGCAGCTTGCTGCTGCAGCTGCTGCTGCTGCAGTTGCTGCTGCTGCAGCTGCTGCTGCTGCAGCTGTTGCTGCTGCAGTTGTTGCTGCTGGAGTTGTTGCTGCTGTAGTTGTTGCTGCTGCATTTGGCGCTGAAGTTGCTGCTGTTGCAAGTATTGCTGCAGCTGTTGCTGCTGCTGGAGCTGACGCAGGTACAATTGCTGCAGCAGCTGCTGCTGCTGCAACGGAAGCTGAGGCTGGAGAGGGAACCGCTGCTGTTGTTGTTGCTGCAGGGCAAATTGCTGTTGCTGCTGCAGTGGGAATTGTGGCTGATGTAGCGGGAACTGCTGCTGCTGCTGCAGTGGAATCTGCTGCTGCTGCTGCAGCGGAAATTGCTGTGGCAATTGCTGCTGCAGCGGGAATTGCTGTTGCAGTTGCTGTGGCTCAAATTGCTGTTGCTGCAGCTGCTGTTGCTGCAGCTGCTGTTGCTGCAGCTGCTGTTGCTGGAGCTGCTGCAGCTGCTGCTGCTGCAGTTGCTGCTGCTGGATTTGTTGTTGCTGCAGTTGCTGCTGCAGCAGTTGCTGCTGCAGCAGCTGTTGCTGCTGCAACCGCCTGTAGTGGACGTTTTCAGCCATGAGTCTCCGCTGCTGCATTGCAGGACTGTGCTGCTCCTGCTGCGGCAGCTGCTGCTGCAGCAGCAGCTGCTGCTGCTGCTGCTGCTGCAGGGAGCCATTTGCTGCTGGAGGCGGCAGCAGCGGCAGAGCTGCTTGCTGCAACAGCTGCCCCGTAGCCGAACGAAGCTCTACAGCTGCTGCAGCAAAAGGAGACACCAGAAGACAAAGCAAAGAGAAAGTTAAATTAAATTAAATTAAATTAAATTAAATTAAATTAAATTAAATTAAAATCCATTAAAATAAACTAATTTGAATTAATTGAAATAAAGAGAAGAATTGGACTAAAAAGGGACAGAAGGAGATAAAGAAAGAGACAAAAAATAGATGAAAAAAGAAATTAAAGAAGGCAAAAAAGAAAATAAAAAACAAAACAAAAAGAAGCAAAAAAGCAAACAAAAAAGAGATTAAAAAGAAACAAAAATGAAAACAAAAAGAAGCAAAAAAGAAATAAAAAAGAAATAAAAAGGAAATAAAGAGAAATAAAAAATAAACAAAAAATAAATAAAAAATAAAAAAGAAATAAAAAGGAAATAAAAATAAATAAAAAGAAATAAAAGAGAAATAAAAAAGAAAAAGGAAATAAAAAGAAATAAAAAAGAAATAAAAAAGAAGAAGGAAATAAAAAGAAATAAAAAAGAAATAAAAAAGAAAAAGGAAATAAAAAGAAATAAAAAAGAAATAAAAAAGAAGAAGGAAATAAAAAGAAATAAAAAAGAAATAAAAGGAAATAAAAAAGAAATAAAGAAATAAAAGGAGACAGACGGAGACAAAGAGGGAAAAGGGCCAAAAAGTGGCGAAAAAATGAAATAAAAAGGCGAGAAAAAAGGAGACAAGAAAGCGACAAAAAGGGTCGGAAAGAGGCGGCGAAGAGCTTCAAAAAGGCGGCAGAAGAAGCCGAAAAGGACAAAAAATAAAAAAGAAAAAAAGAAATGAAAAAATGAATTGCCTGAATCGACCACGACGTGTTCGCCGGTGTTGAGGTGTATGCGCAGCTCCCCCGCAGCGTCCCGAGACACCGCGGACAGCCGCAGAAACGGAAAAACCTGAAATCGAACAGTTTTGCCACTTTTTGCAGTTTAAATCCTCCGAATTCCTCCAATTTCTTCAATTATTCAAAAAGAAAATGCAATTTGGAACTTAAAAAACCAAAAAGCAGAGAAAATGAAGAAAAATCAACCGAAATCGCCCGAAATTCGTAGAAAGATGAAATGCCACAGAAAGATGAAAAAAGATATCAATATAAATAAGTAAATAAATAAATAAATAAATAAATAAATAAATAATAAATAAAAATAAAAAGAAATGAAAAAGAGAAAAGGTCTTCGCACTTTTGTTTCCATTTCTGTTCGTTTTGCTGCTGCTTCAGCTGCAGCACTTTTCTCCGCCTTTCGCGCTGCAGCAGAAGCAGCAAATAAATAAACAAATAAATAAATAAATAGCTAAACAAATAAATAAACAAGTAAATAAATAAATGGAAATAAAATAAAAGTAAATTGTAAGTGATAAATCAGTAGCTGCAGAAGCAGCAGCTGCGACTGCAGCAGCAGCAGCAGCAGCAGCAGCAGCAGCGGCAGCAACTGCAGCAGCAGCAGCAGAAACAACAATGCCAGCAGCAGCAGCAGCAGCAGATGTGCACCTGCAAAGAAGATTGAGGCCAGCGCTATTACAGTGATGATAAGTGCTGCTGCGAAGATGTAGCCAGGAAGCTGCTTCCGCGTGTTGCTTTTGCACTGCTGCTGCCGAGCAGCAACAGCAGCAGCAGCAGCAGCAGCAGCAGCAGCAGGAGGGGCGGGGG